TTCAGCAGGGCTAATGCAATGTCTTTCGCAAGGTTAAGACGACTTTAATGTTTTGCTTTCCCTGCCAGGAGGCTGTAGCCCAAATATAACAGTGGTATGAGGTGCGTGCTGGGGACACACGCCTGCAGGGACACGGGCTCCAGTGCACCAAGTGGTCCCAAACCTGTGAGGCACAAGAATTATGAGCCCTGTTTTGCAGAGCCTGAAGTATGAGCATCACTCTCTTGATGGCAGGGCCATCGCTCAGGGGGTAGCAGAGCTAAGGACTATAAGCTACACAGGCAGCTTTGGGCTAGCCAGTATGGGAGGGAGGTGAGGGGCAATGTATTTTTGTCACAAATGTTGATGAGATATGGGGAAAAGGAACAAAAATACAGACAAGAAAGCAAATATATGACTTGCCACCTTGCCAACTTGATGTTGTATTATTACTATTACTATTTTTTTTCTGTTAAGAGATTATGACAGTCTTTTCATACCATGTAGAAAGGGTAATTCAAGATTCTCAAACTCTACTAGGAAATCAAAACAACACTCATCTATCTGCTTTTCCGTAGTAAGTTCAGCTACAACATTGCAAAGCATTCTTTTATCTTTTCTCCTTTCTCTTTCATTTTCTTTTGAGGAAAAAAAAAAAAAATACAATTGAGAATAATTCTTCAGGAAAAAAAAGAAACACCACCTCATTCAGGAGAGGCAGCAAATGATCTGAGTGACAGATCACATTTATGCACCTCTAGATCTTTTTAGATGGTGCCTAAATCCTTTAAAAAAAAAAAAAAAGACTGCAGAAGAAACAGCACCAAATGCTTTACATAGAATTTAGATAGCTTGCACCTGACTCAATTTGATGAGGTAGAAATCAGCTGAAATTCATGCATCTCATTGAAACATTCTCAAAACATAGCTCAAGTCTATAATGAAATCCAAAATAAAAAAATATTTTCTTAGGCTATTTGTAAGAAAATTCAAACACACCTATATTGTGTTAGCTTCAATTCATAAAAACATTTGCTCAGTGAATAAAATGAAATCACAAGGATGTTTCAGTTCATGAAATATTCCAAATACCACTCTCCCTTATTTCTCAGCTTATCCTAGAGAACCGAATATGCGATTGCTTATTCTTATCATTATCCATAGCTTTCAGTGTATTCAGCCTAGAGATGAGGATGATTCTTGAGGGTTAAAAACTGTGTTTTTGAGTAATACATCAGTGATAGTGTTCTGATAGTGTATTATACTAATATATCATGAGAGCGATAGTGCTCTTGTGATGTATTAGTGCAATGTATCATCTGAACATCACTGCTCTCATGATGTATTGCTCAAAATCACAAGGCAAGTTTAAAGATGGCCTTCAGTAGCCCTAGGCCTGAAATTTTGCTTTTGGACAAAAACAGACTTTCAAGATAAATAAAAGTGAAGATTAAAGTTTGCAGTGGTACTGTAAAATTTCACTAGTGAGTCACACCTGTGGTTCTCATTAGATTTTAAATTTATTCTTAAAAATGGAGAATAATCTGCCAGTCAGTTTCTTTCTCTTCTGCTACAAGGAGTGATAGTTATGCTACAAATATAAATTTTCAGGAATTTCTCTTGGTGATGTATATACAGCCTATCAACAACCATATCCCCCAAAAGTTCAGCCACTTGAAGAGTAATTTTTCTCTCTGTGGCAGAATGTTCCAGGATGCACACAGGAGAAGATCTATATACCCACGACAGACAATTTGGAATATCAGAAAGCACACAGGGATGTAGTCCAAAGCTCAGTGCAGAGATGCTGCACTGCAGATGCACAGGCCAGCACAGCAGGTAATGAATGAGCCTAATGTGATCTTCTACCCAAAATGAGCTCTTGCGATCAGTGTCAAAAAAAGAAGAAAACGTGTTTATGATAGCATATGGCCCACTTGGCATCAGTGGGGGCATTCTCAGGGGTTAGCCACCTTTACTACATGCATTATGGTCTCACACAATGCCAGGCTGCATAGCAAAATCTGTCAGCTGTATCAGAAAACAAATGAGTATTTCCAAGGTTTGAGGTAACTACAATTAATTTAAGAGAGAGTATTTTTTCCAGACATCCCAACTTTTTTTTTTTTTTAAATTCTGTGCATGGAACATAAATAAATATCTGGATTCTCCCTACTGTTTGTGTAATAGAAATGAACAGGATCAGCAATGGTGTCTCAAGTAGTTTCCTTCTCTTCAGCTTTACCAGGAAAACACAGGGAAATACAAGCAGCACAGAGCAGTGGCTTCCACACAGTGAGAAACACCGAACAAGGGGAGTTCACGTCTTCTCTAATCTGCCTTTCAGATTCTGGCCTTCCCAACTTGGGGAGGCTGATATTTGGATTCACTAGAAGTTCTTTAATTGATCATTTTTGCTCCTTAGTGCTATTTGTTATTGCTAAAGCTTCAATCCACCAAAGCACTTAAGCACCAGCTTGATTTCCAACCTGTGAACTGGTTCAGTGGGAGTATTTGCATCCCGGATATTATGTATATGTCTCAGTGTTTTGCATCTGCTGGTGGCTACAGGGACCTCTCCCCAACTGGAGGCAACAGAAATAACTTCAAGGTGCCCACAAATTAAAGTTGCTTCCTTCCATTTTGTTTTCCAGGCAAAACAAAACCCGGCACATCCAAAAAAGACATTTGCTGTTGAGTTGACTGAAGTGTGTCAGTGGATACAAACAAAACATTTGGCTGCATTTTTTTTTTAACCAAACAAACAGATTTAGGCAAATCTTCCCTCAAAACACTGCTTGGAGACAAAAAATCCAAACATTGTGTATACAAAATGTCAAAATAAAGCGTTTCAACTTTTTCCTCAGTTATTGTGGGTATCCTCATGTCTGGTGAGCGGCAGACAGCCCCATCACATTCTAGTAGGCTGTGATTGTGTTTCATTTTTCTCCTTAAAAATTGCTTTCCCCTCATTTTGCATTATTTTGATTAATAAGCAAGAAAAGCAACATACAACAGCCAAGGCATTTACATTAATGGACCGATCAATATCACCCGCATCAGGGTAGAAAAAAATGCAGACACACGCTTGCATTGCTTAGAGTGTTATCTACCATTCTCTCTTCTTGTCAGACACTGATGGAGAAAGCCACACGCGATCGCAGGAGATGGGCACACTGGGTATGACAACATGGGGACCCAGCAATGTGTCCCCAGATGGGGTACATCATGTGGGTCAAAGATACCTGAGCCCCAGTTGCTTCTGATACTGGTGACAAGATTTCTGCCAGGGATGTCTGGGGCAGCAGCAGCTGGAAGGAGGCTGTAGGAGCTGAATTTTATAGCACCTTCAAAATTAAAATTATCAGACTGACAGTTTTGTAGGGCTGGGATGGTAGGTTCCGCTGTTTTCACAGTAGCTACCACATGAAATCTCAGTCTGAGAAACTCCTAATGGTGAGAATTATCAAGTGACGCAAAATCACTCCTAAGAGAAGTTTTTTCAAGACCTTTAAACTACGAATGTCAAGAGAATTAGAAAACATACTGCGAGGGACAAATCTGTAGTGCCACGAAGAAATCATGAGCCAGAGGCAGCGTGTGCCATCTCTGACCTCCCATCGCAGTGAGGGGATCCTCCACTCGAGCCCCACAGTGTTCCCAGCATGACTGTGGGAGCGTGGGGCTGCTGGCGGGCACCCTGGAGCGCACTCATCCCACCACTGCTGAAATCTGGCAGCAGCACAGGCATTTGTGAGATTATAAATCTAAAGTCGATTTCCAGTGAACCAGGGCTGCAAAATACTCACAGAAGTCTCAGCCAAAAAACCTGGAGCCTGTTTTGTTGGAAAAACACCCATTCAGGTCAGGTGAGTTTTGCTTCAGCACTCAAGGCCATGCGGAAAGCAATATTCCTAGTTACTGCTGTTTTTATATACTGAATTATGGTCGAATAACCAATGTGTCACCACTGCACTGGATGTAAAGCGAAAATACTAGGCAAAAATAGACACTGAAAGAGATTTCTTGGGTAGACCAGAATAGTGAAGAGCAGATGACCCTGCCACACACCACTGGGGAGGACATGGACATTGCCTGCAATAATTCATGAACATTATGTTGTGTTCGCTCAGCTGCTGTGCTGGTTAGCAGAGCAACAAAGCTCAGCTTCCAACAGTAAGGGAGATAATAGCCTGTACAAGAGCTCCTCAGCACACACCCAGGGTCTATTAGCAATAAATGTTGCTATAGGATGAATACATAAAAACTGGCAATGGGTCACGCAACCTTGAGGACGGGGGACTGCCAAAAAGTTGTCAGAGGAAGGTCTGTTCCCCCCTCACCTGCAAAAGCAGTACATGGCTGGGCTGTGCCTTCACACA